TATGTTCTTAATAATTTTCTTTATACCAATTCACTATTTTTTTTTACCTCCTTCTCAGAGCCTAGCAAAATCACAGGTTTGATGTGTATTTGTAATCCATATATGAAAATAAACTCAAAAATTAAAACCAGTTTGTCTGTGGGCTGATAAAATCATCCACGCTTCATGAGGCACGTTTAGCTCCGGGGCTTTTAAAGCTCTCAGGTGCTGAGGGGGAGAATGAATATGTGGGGGCTGGTTCTTGGACCCCGACTTTGAACAGAGCAGTTCTGCTTTATCTATCATCTATGTTGGGTTCTGCAGAAGACTTTGGTTTGGAAAAAGGGGTCCTGTGGTCCAAAGAGTTTGGAACCATCTAGAAGTGGCTTCAAAATGAACAGGAAACTTGTGACCTCTAAGCTAGGATTTCCCGGCTCTGCCCACACAGGACTCAGCTGCCCGCGTTGCCTCCTGGATCTCTTAAAGAAAAGGAGACGACTCCCATGGCGCCTCTGGCCCGGCTCTGCTCACACGCCAGCCCCCGGACACCCTGTGCGGGACGCAGCCTCAGCGACCCCAGGGGAGAACAACGTCGGCTCACTGCCTGTCTCCCGAGCTCCCAGGGCACGCTCGGTGCAGGGCAGGCTCAGCCAACATCTGCCGGAGGCACGCACACCCCAAGGTGTCCTACGTCCTCCTGGGGCACCCTGGCCCTGCAAGTCCCCAAGGATGAAGCCAAGGGCTCAGCCCTTGGGAGCTGAGTGGCCTCGGGGAGTCCCAGGGCCACCCCACCACACTCACTCCTCACCCTGGCGCCCTAGGGTGCCAGGGCCACAGCACACTCAGCCGTAGCGCTCACCCAGGGATTGACGGCATTTGACGATACAACGTGACCGCCGGCACTGGGCGAGGCCCTCCTGCACAAGCTGCCCCGGCGACAGGGGAGCGGGAGCGTGGGACCTCGGGCTCCCCGCGACACGCCAGCCCTTTGAGTGGTGTCGCCTGCAGAACGTCGCTCGCCTCCCTGAGGCCCACGCCTGTACTCCCACATCGCCTCCCACGGCCGCCCATCCCCCCTCCATTCCTGCCCAGCACCGCCTTCCCACCGGGCTGTGCGCATCCCTGCTCTCTGGGGGTTTACCATCCAGAGGGAGGACAGACGCAGGACCACAGCACAGACAGGCATTCACAGCTGGGACAGGGACCAAGGAGGAGCTCAGGTGTTCCGAGGGCATCTGGCGGGGCCCCCGGCTTGTCGAAGCCGCCGGGAGGGGAAGGGGATCTTCTCTGCTCAACAGCTGGGGCAATGTGGGAGAAGTTATCAGAAGCAAGCATTCCTTAACCTTTTAGTATGACTACTGCTGAAAAAAAAAATGACTACGCATTATTAGTGAAGCTCAGCAAAAGAGAAGTGGGTGGAGAAGAGAACCCAAGAGCCGGTTCCACGGCACGGGAGGGTGCTCCACTTCTGCAAGGCACACCAAAGGGTTAAAGTCATTTTCATTAAAATTTAAATTTCAGCAGGCGCCCGCTGTCCTTTGAACGTTTGACTGGCAACCATTTCATATTTCAATCTCGGCAGAACAAATTGAATTAGATGTTGAAACCAAACTCGGCTCTGCTCACCAAAGCCTGCACGCCCGGCGCGCACTAATCCTCTCCTGGATGCGCGGAGCACAGGCCTGCACGGAAGACAGAAGGCCCGGGGAGGCGGGGACCGGGAAAGGAGGAACACCCGTGGGCCGTAGCTGCGGGAAGCTGTCTTCTGCCTGGCGTGTGTGCCTCCCGGTCTGGAGACAGACCACGTGTGGACCGGGCGTTTCTGACCTGGTCTCCCAGGTGCCCTACATGGCCTCGCCCACAGGGTCCCTCCACGTGTCTGCCAGGTGGGCGGCTGGCCCTGCCCGCCTCCGCACTGTGCCCACGCCCATTGGGCCTCACCTTTCTGAGAAGCCGCGAGGTGCCTTTGCCTCAGCCCCTGCCCTGCGGGAAAGCCGGCCAGGGGACACCAGCTTGCATGTCCCAGGAGGAAGGAGGCAGGCCTCCCCTGCACGCCCAGGGGTCGCCCCACGGCCACAGCCTTGCTGGTGGAGGCTGACGCGGACCTGGAAGTGCTGACCCAGCACCCGAGTCCGGCTTTCAGATACAGGGCCAGCGGCATCCTGCCCATGAGTGACTCTGAACAGAAGAGGTTAGGAACAAACACGGCAACCACGGCCCACCCAGGGCCTGGCCTTGCCTTTGTGTGAGGACGGTCTGGGTTAATGAGGTGCCCACTCAGCCTGCTCTGGGCCATCTTCATGGACTCCCTCCTTCCCCCCATGACCTACCCCCCAGCGGCTCCCCATACTCTGTGTGGGCCCCACGGCCTGCTGGACCCAAGCTGGGGTGTGACTTCCTCGAGCACTCACTGGGGGCAGCCCCAGTAGCTTTTCTCTTTAATAACAATAACAATAATATAATTTATTTAGTGTTCATTAGGCATAAAACAGCCTGCCAAATGCTTTCCATTCATAATCTTTTATTTAATCTTAAAAACAGCCCCAGGAGGCAGGGATTCTTCTTGTACCCATTTTAAGGGCAGGGAAACCAAGGCAGGAGACGTGGAGGCCCGGATGCAGGCGGCCCGGGCAGTGGGTGCGGCGCCGGGATTCCCGCCCAGCCCGCACGGAGAAGCGCGCGGCCTGTCCCTCACCTCCATCCTCCTGCCTGACCCCCGCCCCTCCTGTGGGTGGACTGTGCGCCCCCTCACCCGCCCAGGGGTGCCTGTGTAGTGCTCCCCGTGCCAGGCCCGGCGGCCTCGGCTTCTCCCCAAGCCTGGCCCCACATTCCAAACGCTGTCCCACCCTTCAGGGCTCCTGGGCCCGCGCCCTGGGCTCACCCCGCAGGCGCCAAGCTCTGCGGCCGCCCGATCTCCCTCGCTCAGCCCAGGAGCCCCATGCACATATGCCGACCACGCTCCTGTGTCCCAGCTCTGCTCCCTCTGTCCCTCCACGAGGCCACCGCCAGGCCTCCCTTCTGTCTCCCCGGCAGCAGGCCTCACTGGCTCCCCGTGTCCTTGCTGTCCCTGCTCGGCAGTCCCACGGAGGGGGCTTCGGAGCTTGTTCCAAAGGAGCCAGAAAAGCCGACAGCCAGGCGCCGGGGCAGTCGCCCTTCAGCTGCACGGCCTCTAGGCAGGGGCGGTGTTGCCAGAATCGAGGGCTGGCCCTTCATGGAGAAGCCACATGGGACAGAGGGTGGGGACGGGGTGCCCAGGCCAAACCCGACAGGGAGCCTGCTGGCAGGGGAGCCTGGGAAGCAGGACCTGCAGGGGTCAGAGCAGGCGGGTGGCCGAGGACCCTGGCACGACTCGAGCTCTGGAAACTGCCTGGCTCTGTACACCCCCTCCCCACTGGCCCCTCAAAGCCTTGCTCCTGAACACAATCCCACCAGCCTTGTTGGGCGCAAGGGACCCTGCTGAGCCCCGCGGTCCCCGGGCACCACCTCGCCTCTCCTGGGAGCCTCTCCACTCCTGCCTCCGTCACAGCCTCTTCCGGGCTCTGTCCCCATCACTGGGAGCCTGGCCGCCCAAGGGTCTGGCCAGGGGGGTCCAACACCCACCCCACCACACAGCCCCCACCCAGAAGCTGTGGTCCCCGACATCTGTGGGACATCCTGCTGGAGGCTGGGATAAGCCGCCCTGGGGCTGCTGCTTTAGTTGGGTTCTGTTAGTTCCCAGAGAGGAGCCAGGACCGGAGGGAAGCGGCCGCCCCCCAGGAACGGGAAGGACACTCAGCCTCGAGGATGGCCAGAGCCGTGAGCATAGCCGGGGCCCCAGGCCACTCTGCCACCTGGATGAAGACTCAGCCCCCAAAACGCACAGACTGAGCCTTACCCAAAAAGACAGCAGGTTCTTGGAGTATCACTTGGAGCCCTATCCACAGGCCCCAATAAGTAAACAAGAGTGTTGGCGAACACTGATCGACCGATCAGTCCGAGCACCATCTCTGAGGTAGGCATAACATCACTGCCATTTCAGAGAAGATGCTGAGGCTCAGAAGCGGCCTCGGCGGTCCAGGTTGCGCAGCTGGGCATGGCTGGCTGCGATTCAGACCCGGGTCACGCGGGCCTGCTCCGGGTGTGTGCTGGGCACGAGCCCCCCACGGCAGGGCTCCACCTGCAGGCTGGAGTGGGCGTGCGCGGTGCCTGGGCGGGGGACAAGCCTGGGAACGTTGCTCGTTGGGACTGGGCGCCTGGATGCATCGCAGGGCCCCCCGGCCCACGAGCGGGGGGTCTGCTCTTAAGGACACAGCTGGGCTCAGCCAACAGGAGGGGTGTCCGGGCTCGGCGCTGGGGCTTCCCTTTTGAGCAGCTCGGAGGCTCCCCAGCCCCGAGGTCAGCAGGGCCGGAGGGAGCCCTGGGGACAAGACCAGAGCTTGCAGTCCCAGGTGAGGGGGACGGGGCAGGACCAGGGCTGGGGCCCAAGCTGTGAGCAGGCCCTCGGACAGACGCAGGTGGGACTCCAGCTCAGCAGCCCTGGAGGGGAGAGTGAGAATGGAAGCTTCTGGGGCCCGCCTCACATGCCCAGCCCTGGGCCCGGCGGTTTTCACCCATCATCGTGGCGTGGCCTCTCTCACGAATGCCTTGTGAGGCCGGAACCAGAGAGTGAGGAGGGGGCTGGGCCCAGGGTCCCAGTGGAGCGGACCTCTAGCTCCAGGGAGCTGCCATCAGCCCCAGAGTCTGGGGCAGTGGGGGGCCAGGGTCCTTATTCCCATGTGCTGGGGCCCTGGAGCGAAGCAAGGGCCCCTCTGTCTCCCAACGTTCCTATCAGCAGGAGGGGACCCTGTCCCGTCCCAGGGCACATGGCCCAGCAGTGGGCGGAGGCCGTCGTTCCCTGTGACCTCGACCCAGCGGAGGGTGGGGCCGCCTGCTGCGTCCACTTGCCGAGCGCGCTGCACTACAGCCCGCCCCCAGCCCACGTGGCAGGGAGCGCAGACGCCAGAGCGGCTGTCCCCAGTCCTCGGGGCCCTGGAGCCACATACCCTCTCGGTGCCAGCTCGCAGCTGAAGGGTTTGCTCCTCACTGTCGTTTTCACTGTCTTCCAGCTGCTCCAGGATCTCGTCCAACACCACAGACCGCTTTTTCTTCGGGGGCTCTGTGGGAGCCCAGATGGCAAGAGAGGAGAAAGGAACAGCCGAGAGGGTTGGAGGCAGGAGGAGAGAGATGGCAGAGGGGGGGAGGGAGTGGGAGAGGGGTGAGCAGAACGGGGGTGGGGGGGTGGGGGGAGGGGACAGGAGGATGGAAACACAAGGCCAGGACGATGGGACATGGGACACAGTGAGAGAGATGCAGAAACAATAAGACAAGATGAGAAACAGGAGAGGGCGCATGGGGGCGGGGCAGGAGGGAGGAGGAGGCCCGGGGAAGCGGGGAGAAGCCACGGGAGAGGAGAGAGAGAGAATGCGGGTTAGTCTCAGCTTGGCCGAGGGGAGCTGCCTGCTCCGGCCACAGATGCTCGGCTCTGGGGGCCACCCCTCCCCATCTCCGCCCACAGAGGAAAGGGCCCCGTTTCAAAGGGAGGCAGGAAGGCCCCCTCCAGCAGCTCCTTGGTTCAGGCACCCCTGCTTGCCGTGCGGGACTTGCCAGGCCTAGGGTGGAGGAAACGAGGGGTAGCCGATTCTGACCCGTACAGCAGCCGGCTAGTATGCAGTAGGTGCTCAATAAATGTCGGGTAAATGGATTCCCGACATCCATTTCATGCTCAAGGATTCCAGAGGAGGCATGGAGGGAGTAGCAACCAGAGGTGGCTCTAGTGAGGATGGGCGATTGGAGGTGGGCTTTGAAGGATGCAGAGGAGTTCTCTGTCAGGCCGGGGGAAGGGGAAGTAGAGGCACAGTTCAAACGTGTGGAAGGGCACAGCGGGCTCAGCAAAATATGCCCTCTGGGCCCCAAGTGCCACTGAGTCCCTACTGAGTGTGGCAGACAGGAAGCCAGGATTTGGACCTCAGCCACACGAAAGCCCCGTCTCCCACTTTCCATGAAAGTCTCCGCTCTGGCTAGAGAACACCAGGGAAACACGGGTGGCAGGAGAAGACGCGCTGGTCCCCTGGGCCGTCCGGGAGGGAAGTGGAGTCGGGGGCGGGGCGGGGTGGGGAAGCTGGGCTCGGTGCCGGCCTGCTCGGTAGCCCCGCTGCTCATCTGACTGTTCGTGGCCAGCCTTCCTCCTGGACAGCACGCGCCTCACACCACGGTGGTGGCAGGCAGGCTGTCCCAGCCCCTGCCTCCCAGCACCCCTGCGAATGCGAAGCCTCCCAGGCGCTGCGCCGCCCCGGTGGCCCTTTGCCGTCCCCTCCCCATGGGGGTGGAGGCTGCTGCAGCCTCCTCTCTCTACCTGGGCATCCACGGAGTCCAGCCCAGGGCAGGCCCAGACGTGGGGCAATCTCAGGTCTCTTCCAGCGGCCCCAGGCACATGATCCGGCCTCCCAGAGACCACTTTTTATGTCATTCCTCCAAAACTACCGGGGCACTCTCATCTCCACAGCTCCCTGCGTGGTCTCATCCACCTCCCTGCTGCCGCCCTCGCCCTCCCTCTCCCCACCGCCCATTCTATTCTCTACTCGGAGGCCGGAGGGACCCTCCTAGAACATACGTGGGAAATCCCAAGCCCTGCAGAGGCCTCCCTTGAGCCAGCCCTGCCTCCAGGCCTGTGCGGCCTGCTCCCACCTGGAGACCGCCGCATCCACAGGCCCGGCCCGGCCCACTCAAGCCTCAGCGGGCACGACCCCCTGGGACAGGCCTCCCCTGATCACCGTCTGAAAGAGGGCCCCGCCCCCCTCTGCTCTGCCCCCACGGCAGGGCAGGCATTTCTTTGTGTGGGATTCTGCCCCGTCCACTCTGTCCCCTCTCTTCGCACACTGCCTTGCGCCGACGGAGGGCTCAGCATTTGCCGAATGAGGAGACAAGCGAAGTGCGCAGGAAGCATGGACGGGGTGAGCTGCCCCTCGGCGCAGGTGAGGAAGGTGTGGGCGGCTGCCCCCCACCTCTCTGCTGGGAGCCTCGAGGCCTGGCAGCTGTGCTGTCACTGTTGATCAGGAGAAGGGGGAGCAGGATGGGCTAGGGGCAGGGGTGGTGCCTCCCCCACCAGACCCTACTCCTTTCCTGCTCCTTCCTCACGGCTCCCGGTTTCCAGGTAATCACCAGGCTCTGGAGGGGCACAATGGCTGCTGGAAACTGAATTTGGGGGCAGGTAATAGGACCCTGGAAACAGAAGGGCAGCAGAACGGGGCCTGCGGGCCTGTCCCTGACACCCCCTCCAGCCGCGAACAGCGGGAGTGGCCGCGGGGCTGGGTGGGGCCTGCCGTGCGGGCGGCTGCACCAGGGGGCCCAGCACAGAGCAGGTGTCCTGGGATCATTTCTTGAATGGGAGAGTAAATGGCTACAGGGTGAGTGGTTCTTTAACATTCGAGCGGCTGCTGTCGGGACAGCAGTAAAACAAAGGAGCGGCAGAGCTGGGAGGCCGCCGGGCTGGGGAGGCTGAGGCCCAGAGCCGGGCGGATGCGGCCAGAACAGGAAACATACAAGGCGGTCACTCTCCAGGCAGCATCTCGTCTTAGTTCCACCAGCACCCCCTGCAGGAGGGGTGTCATCGCCCCACATCCCAAGTGGGGAGAGGAAGGTGCAGAGGCAGAGCACCCCGAAGCCCCACGGCTAACACGTGGTAGCCTCAGGGCGCCCAGTTTGCACCCCACACCTGCTCTGTGTGGGGGTTGGTGGCGTCTACTGAGGGCGGAGGACATGGCCAAGGTCATAGAGAACCTCGTGAAAGGGCATGAGATGACCACGTCTGGCTTTAGAGCAAGGCACACTTGGCTTTGGCACTTCCCCAGCAGTGTGGCCTCAGGCAGGGCGTGCGCCTTCCGAGATCCAGTCCCTCGTGTATAAAATGGGGGGAAAGGGGTGGGTCCTCCACCCTTCCCTTCTCTGTGACCACCGTCTGCTGACCCCCGGGCCTCCTGACCGTCTGGAGCAGGGAGGGGTCCTCCTTCCTGCTGGCGCTGATGTCACAGCCCCATCATGGACTCAGCAGCTCTGTGCCTCAGTTTCCTTAATTTGCAAAATGGAGGCGCTATTAACTCCTACTCCTCATGGGGTTTTTGGGGGGTGTTCAAGGAGTGAAAAGAGAAATGGCCAGCCCCTGGGGTGGGGGAGGCCCCATCAATGGTGCTGAGATCAGCGTCTTTGTCTCGGTCACTGCCACTAGGCCAACCAGCGCCCCCAGGCGGGGACTGTCACAGGAAGGCTTCTACATCAAGGCTGGAGGAGGCACGGCCCCCTTCCCCAGGTTGGAAAGCGGAGGCACGGGGGCACCGACCGACCGCGGGGTCGGGGAGAGGCATGGGAAGCAGGCTGGTGACTGGCTGGTCCCCGGCCTCAGATGCCAGGCAGCCTGAGGTCCGGCTCTGTCACTTAATGGCTCAGTGACCTTGGGCAAGTCGCTTCTGCTCTCTGGGTCTGTGCATTAGGGACGAAGACAGGACCCCTCTCCTGGGGTGACTGCGAGGATGAGCAAGAGCATTTGGGCTCAGGCCTGGCACACGGTTCCTGCTCCCACGGGCCTGGTGCCTCTGGCTCAGGCCGGGCCCCCAGAAGCCCCCCCAGAGGGCATGGCAGGCCCTGAATTCCCATCCAGTGCCACCCAGCACCCCCCGCCGGCCCTGCCTGCACGCGGAGCCTGTTCACAGGGAGCAGCTGCTGCGATCCCACTTCCCCGACATCAAAAGCCTCAGTGGGTTTTCACCAAACAAACATAATGCAGAACCAGAGAAAGGTGTAAAATAAATAAACAAAACAAGCTGTGCGTTTTCTTTCAGTATTACAGCTGCACCCGAAGATAAACAACAAGTGAATGTCACCCAACATCCATACCAAGAAATTAACTTGACAAAAAGCTCAGCCGGCCCCCAACAACCCCCCAGTCCTGCCCCTCTCCCCCTGCACCCTCCAACCACCATTTTGCATTTCTGGAGTTCCCATCTAATGATTTTATTTTTCAATTAATTCCTTGACAGAATGCCAGCCCGTGTCTCTCTGCCGTCCCTGGCTGGCGCTGCCGCCCTGCGTGGAAGGCACAGGCAGGCAGAGAGAAAGGAAGGCAAGGGGGTGGGCGGGGGTGGGGGGCTGTCGGAGGACAAGAGAAAGCGCTTCCCGGGGTTTTGTTCCGGAGGCAGAACGTTGAGGAAAGGCAAGCGGAGAGGGGACGAGCACGTGGCTGGTGTGGGGGAGGAGGGGAGAAGGCGCTTGGAAAGGCCCCTGAGGGGTGGCGGGCGTGACCTGCCAGGGAGGCGGCTTCCAAGCCAAGGGCGGGTGGAGCCAGCCAGGCTACCAGGCAACCTGGGGCCGGGTGCACCTCTCCGGGCTCGGCCTGCAGTGGCTGCGCAGCACCCCACGCCCCGCTGTGGGCGCTGCCGAGGGTCAGAAGAGTTAGCGTGTCCAAGGCCTGGGCACACAGAGGGTGCTGAATGAGGGTCAGCCTTTCTCATTGTTGTGAACGGAGCTGCTCCCAACCCATCCCTCCTCTGTGAGCCTGGACAGCGCAGTCAGCCCCAGATCCACGCGGAGGCTCCGGGCAGCACCCTGTCCTGATGATCACTCGCTCACGGCATGAGCAGCGGCTCTGGGACATGTTAACGGTCCCCACCTCGAGGGCCAAGGGCTTTCTCAGGCCCCAGGGACATGCTTGGGCCTGTGGACCAAAGGGAGTTGCGTAAGGCCGTACCTCATGTCCCTTTCTGTTACACGGGGACTGAGCCTGCTCTCTGGATCTCACGGGGCCTTAAACGTTCTTGCCTACAGTCGTTCATGGCAAGTACTCATTGAGCGTCTACTATGCAGCGGGCCTGGGGCTGCCGATACAGCACCAAGAAAACCCCAAAGACCACACTGAACCACCGCCCGTGGAGGCCACGCGGGAGCCCCAGGGCGGGCGGAACCCCAGCCTCTGGCTTTTCTCTGAACAACTGGAGGTCCTTTTTGTACAATGAGCGCGGTGCCCACTGCACAGGAGTTAAGGACACAGGGCGAGAGAGCACCGAGCTCAGCGCCAGGCGCGCAGAGGTGTCGAGTCATAAATGTCAGAAGCAACATGGAAACGCTGTG